AGCCACCTCCTTTATATGCTGGAGCCAGAGACTTAATCACAGCAGAAGCCCCTTATTTAAGTTTGCAAATTCTATCCAACTACGTTTAATTTAAATTGAACATGGAAATTAATTAATTTGCTTTACTGGAACATTATGCAATATTCTGTTACATTATATTACAGTTGTGCAACAGCCATCAGAGGCAGCAGTCATGAGTAATAGGGCTGTACGAAAATCTCCTAAGCGTGTAACAGCAGAAGGTGTCATATGCTGTGTCACTGTGAAGATTCATGAATAAATTAATAACATTGTAAAATCTAAATAAAACTGAACTGATGTTAAAAGACTTGTATGCTGAGAAATAAGGACAATTCATGCATGTATGTAGAAATGCTAAAATATTAAAAAATCTGTAGAAAAGTAGAACAAAGGAAAAGTAAATAAAGGGTTAAAAGACTCATACAATTGGCCAGGAGAATTTTTTAGGGCCCTGTAGGACTAGCTGCGTGTGCCGGAATATAAACACATTAGTGACTCTCGTGTAAAACACCACAGGGATGAGACACAGACTTGCAGCACGCACGCTGGGCAGCTGAGAAGAGCAACACCTTGACAGTGACGGAGTTTCCTTCAGAGACTTCACCACCATGATGGAGAAGCTGAACTCCACTGGCCCGCCTGCCTCACCCCACGACATACCTCGCCCCTCCTCCTCTTCTTCATCCTCTGCCTCCTCACCATCGTGTGCATCCATGGAGCATAGCAGCCCTCTCTACAGCCAACAGTCAGCATCCTTGGATGCTATCGGCAGCCCACAACCCACTAACAAGACAGGGCACAAGGGACACACGGATGTCCCTACTCCTGGCTTGACACAAGCCCTCATCACCCCAAACACAGTGTTAACCAATCACCAAGCAGATACAACTGCTGCACCTGAGCCCATTGCCATGGAAACGGAGGAAGAAGAGGATGAGGAAAAACTAGGGGGGCCAAAGAGCACCACTGCTCCTGCTGCTTCAGCCAACGGGTCCCCAACTCTTTCCTCGCCACCTCCACTCCTCCCGGCACCAGCAAAGACTTCCCCGTGCCTTCTTCCCCCTCCAACCTCCACAGCTGCCTTCCCTTCATCCTCATCATCCTCTCCTCTTCCTCCTCACATTCCAGTTATCAGCCTTGGCCACAGCAAGCCCCCACTGCCACTCCCAAATACCCCTTTGACTGCCCTCCACCCAATTCCCAATCTCCTACATGGGCCACATGGAGACATTCGCCGCGGCCATTTGAACTGTTTACCTGTGGTCAGCCCTGGAGCTTCTGGATCTACTGGAGGTCCCGTAGGTCCCACAGCTGCTTCTTCAGGGCCCCTGTTGCCTCATCAGTACCTGCCTGGTCACCCCTTCTTCACTAGGTGAGATTATACAAATTTGAATTCATTCATACACAGTGTGAGTCACTTATAACTTCTTGAAACAAGAGCAGTCTGAGTGCTGCTACACCATGAATAAAGTGAGTCTGGATCTTTATGCAGATTAGTATACGATATTTTGGGGGGAACATCTGGATCATGTCTCCCAATTTTCCTTTTTCAATTTGCCACTAATTTCTAAAGATAGACTGCAATTATGAAATCAAAGAAACCTTTCAATTCAAAAATTCCTGTATCTACTCCAAACGTTAAGCAGGATTATGTTGGTTGTTTATTGTTTTGTTTTTTTTTAAAAAAAAAAGAAAAGAATCCTTTAAATGGATTTTGGAGTAATAAAAACATTCAACAGAAAAAGACAAATGAAACCAAAGACAAACTCATTAGAAAAGGCCCTACTTTTGACTTCAAATTAATATATTTGAAGGCTAAAGCAAGTAAAGCTAAAGTGTCCACAACAAAAAAAGATTGATGCAAGGTAAAAAAAAAAAAAAAAAAAAAAGATAAATGCATATTTGTAATGCTACCTTTTATCTGGTCGATTAAAAACTGCAACATTTGCTGACAGTACGGTTAAAATGATCAGTGCATGGCATGAATATGTTTATTGAATGAATTTGTTTCATTGGAAGCAAATAATTCTAGAGGTAAAATGAAAAAGTTATAAATTACATAAAATAACGATCGCGTAAACTGGAACATTATGTAAAATAAAGTATCGCACACTCATTCACTTCCTTTCGAAAAAGCCTGCAAACAGATGCGGACAACTAAACTATAAAACTCACTACAGTACAGCTTCCTGACATGCTGCTATCAAGGATGATGCCACTTTTCTCGCTGCAATGCCAAGTTTCAGATAAAACCTCAACTGCTCGGATTTCTCGACTTCCCATCATGATTAATAGCCGCTGTGCTGCGCTGTTATGTGAAAATGACAGCAGGATGTGTGCTGTTTTGAAGGGACCTCACATTTCTCACGCTAAATTTACCCAGCAGACCTTTTGGTTACCGAACACAAATTGAATCAGTGAATGTTTTTTTTCTTTGTGTGTGTGTGTGTGTGTGTGTGTGTGTGTGTGTGTATTTAGCAGCCAAGTAAAAAAAAACTTTACTTGAATATACCACTTTTCTAAACTATACATCCAGTTTTAATTACAGCTAATTTTAATCCTTAAACTGACAAAAGGAAGCAAACCAGAACTCTTAAAGCTCATTTCGGGCCCGAGCAATTGGCAGCTCTTCTTTTACTCCTGTGAAGAAAGGCATTAATTTGCAGTCTTTATCAAAGCCCTCCTACTGTTCCTCTATTCTCTACTCCAAACGGCATTTTCTACACAGTTTTCTCACAGAAGAGTGGAAAAAGTGGGACTTTTTTTGCACAGTGGATATATCTGTGGCTTCCCCATCTGTCATGGAGGTCTGGGAATAAGCTTCTCTCCCCTTTCCTCTCTGGTTTGTTTGTAGCAGGAAGCATTGATCTATTTCATCCCCCCTGAAGTAGAATCAGCTAGTAACCAAGCTTAATGAGATTGGGTTAAAACTCTGCATGCACACTCAATCAACGCCACCACTCACATTCACACCTCCATTAATGGCTTCCACCATGTTCCTGCTTTCTTTAGCCACTCTTTATGATTTCTCCCTATTCAGTTGCTAAAGGAAGGAGGACGAAATGCCAAAACAACCTTATATGTGTCTTGTTTTTATTTATATGTAGCTTATTTTTACTTGTTTGACTGTAAATACGATCCCACAAATGATTCACATAGTGTTTGTGTTTCTAGTTCGTACCTGGGTTCTTCAGGAGGAAGCTATGGTGTCATCAGCAACAACCGCATCAAGAGGAGACCCTCCTCGCACTATGAGATGGAGATGAATGAATGTGAGTTTCTGTGTGTACGTGCGACACTATTATGGAGATAATTATTGTTTGAATGTTTTGAACTGTAATTTGGGGAAATTGATGTCCACATTTTGGAGATGAAGGCATATATTTAAACTATTTAAAGAGTATGTAGCAATGTTATGTACTTTTTTTCACTGCCATCACATCCTGTGAGAAAAACCTACTTCCACAATTTGCTAGTCCATCTCTCAGTGCTTTTCTATATCCTGCCAGGGGTATAGGAATATACCTCTGGCACCACATGCCACTTTTTTTGGAACTGAAAACCAGCTCATGGCCCAAAACCTCCTGCAGAGGAATCCAATCGTTAAAAATGGATCACAAATATTTAATATTCTTCCAAAGTCTAATTAATCCCCTCCCCATTTTGTTAGCAAAGTTATTTTTTAAAAAAAAGTTAGTGATGATTTGAAGGATTTGTTGAAAAAAAAAACAACCTTTTGGACTAAATCTGTGTTTATGTGTGTTTAACAGGCCCTCCCCAAAAACTCGCCCGCCGCGTCTTCACCAACAGCCGTGAACGCTGGCGACAGCAGAACGTCAACGGGGCTTTCTCGGAGCTGAGGAAACTCATTCCCACGCACCCACCCGACAAGAAACTCAGCAAGAACGAAATCCTCCGCCTGGCCGTGAAGTACATCAACTTCCTGGTCACACTGCTCAATGACCAGGATCAAGACAAGAGCAGGGACTCGGCTGAGGATGATGTGGAGGATGAGAGCATGGCTCCTGGTTTGGCAGGCAAAAAACTGAACCCTCGTTTTCAGTGCAACACTCCGCCGCCATCCCACTCTGCCCTGCCTGCGTCAGCCCGTCCCGCTTTGGCGTTAGCCCACAGAGACAGAGACTCAACTGACTCAATCAGTGCCCTGGCTAATTCCCCAGCAACGTCCAGTTGCTATGGAGACACGGACAGTGAAGAAAGCTTTGGTGCTAAGACCTCTTTGGTGACCCAAGGCATTCTGGGAAAGGTCAAGAGCCAGATAGGGATGGTGGCAGCATCGAATGATGAGCGGTGACACCAAAAGGCAGCAAACACTGGGAGTTTAAATGCCAGGCAGAGACGGAGATATCAAAAGTGTTTGATCAATTGCAGAAAGGTGTGAATAAGTTTTAAAAAAAGAGGGGTTTTTTAAAATGAATTTTGCAGGTTTGAGAGCTTCTTTGTCTTTTCTGGCAATGTTGATTGTGAAGCTGTCATTTAGTGAAACACCAAACTGTGCTTTGAGGAAGGCTGAGACATGAAACTTAACAGAACACTCAAACCAGCTTCATATCCAAATATGGTAACAATGATCCTTTAATAAACATTATACAGCTAAAACAGTAGAAGAAGAAAGACACGAAACAGGGCCCTGATTACACGTGCTTATAAAAGTAATCCGGGGAATTTAAAATCTTCTTAGCAAATGGATAAAAATGGAAGATCTGTCAGAAAAAAAGCATGAAAATCAAATATTTTGTCAGTCTCTGAAGTTTACGTGTAAATAATCAGCCTTGCCTCAGTGCAGTTATGGTAACTTAAGAGTGCCTGCAGAGAAATGCATTGCATGCAGTGGTGATTTGACGTTGCCGTTTCTTAATGTCCTCGCTGCTCTAATTGTCTGAAAAGCAGGGCCGATGGTTCCGCCCTGACATTGTGACACACTTGTAAGAGACAGAAATAAAGTGTGTTTTAGTTTGCTGTTCCTTATTTGACATCCTCTTACTGCGCTCCAAAGACTGCTCTATGTCAGCACGATTTCTCAACACATTCAAATGTTTTGCCGCTCTCAGTTTAGCCTACTTGTGTATGCTCAAACTGACCAGTAAGTAGCATAAAATGAACACAATGACCAAACTGCTAGATTATGAGATTAAAATGGTTTATGGTGATTGGAAGTTCGCTTCTTTTAACTTTATTTTGAAAAATCTGCACGTGTCCTTCTGTTTGTCCATAACAAAGCTGTCAGTGCACGTTTTATGGGGGCGAGTAGCCAAAGCACAACTCCATGCTGTTTACGTGTGCTGTTCACCAGAATGACAGATGATTGACAATAGTGTTTCAGCATGGAAGCCATAAACAACACAAATCAAAAAATAAAACTAGTGAGTGACGTGACACCGAGAACATGGATCTACAGTTGCCCTGCCATTCCTGTAGAAAGTCCAGCAAACCGAAAAACAAATTTCACAGAAATGTTTTCCACAAGGTGATGAGGTTTTCCCAAGAAGCAGACTTTAAAGCGTTTTTACACTGGTGAAGGATTTACAGATGAATGCCCAGTCTGACAAAAATACAATACAACATTATAGGTACAATTTGTGATCACAAGCAAATTTGTGGTGAATTAAAATAAAGACAGTGTGTGCATGTATGTGCGTTATATGTTGAAGAACAAGGGAAAAAAAAACTGTGAAGGCAACAATTTTTTCGTGTGTGGCTGTGTTTGCGGAAAGTCAGGGTGGATGTGGGATGCGGTTGAAGATGGGGTTCAAAATGGTGGAGGAAAGTGAAAAGTGTTCGGGAGGGAGGGGGCTTGCAGCTGTTGCCGTGGTGCGGGTGTCTGTCTATCAATTGGCCAGGAAACGCTTACAGTTAGTGCTGTCTCATTTACGGCCAACGAGTTTCCTGGAGGTTGGGTGGTGGCGGTGTGACTGTACCATGTTTGATGGGTGTTTGGATGTGTGGGGTAGCAACCGCTGCATAGAAGAAGGGAAGATAGGAGGGGGAAAAGAAAGAGAAAACAGCCACCAGGGTGCACTGGGAAGCCCTGTACACTTGGTTTCAGGATCATACAACAGGAAGAACTGCTTTCACAACACTGCTGTGACTGCATCTGCCCACTCTGCTGTACTAAGCTGGGCCTGCTTCACTCTGAAACCTCAGAGAGGATTACAGAGTGAAGCAGGGGTCATGCAAATTAAAGATAGTGTGTCACTTTGCAGTTGTACAAATTGAATTATTCAAAGATTTTTTGGATAACACACTAGATTTATTTGAGTTGTTTAACAATATATTATTTATGGGTTAGACATTAACCCATTTTATCTTGTAAGCTTGCCCCGATAAAAAAAGCAAACTGTTGAAATGTATTATTACTAATGTTACTACTGTTATTTATTAAAAAATATTTTTATGGCTGCACAGTACAGTTCAGGAAATAAACCCTCAAAATTGTAATTCAAACTGCTGGGGTGTCAACCTTCTCGACTTCTGATACAGGAGGCCACGCAGGGTGATGCTAGCCAGCCTGGGACTTAGAGATAATGCCAGTGCCTCCACCCTACCTCCTCCTCCCACCCTCAGTTGTGTCCCTCTTACGACCAGAAGCACACCCACTTACGTAAATAAATCGAATAAATGGAGTGAATTCTGCAAACTATAAACACAATTCCAAAAGATTTGGGGATGTGGCGTAAAATGTAAACAAAAAAAACAGTGATTTGCAAATGTCATAAACACATATTCACAAGAGAACAGAAAAAAGATCAAACGTTAAAAAAACTGAGATTTTACTATTTTGAGAAAAATATTATCTTATTTTAATCTCAACAACACATCCGAAAAAGCTGGGATGGGGCCACAAAAGGCTGGAAAATTAAGCATTCCTAAAAGACACTGCTGGAGGAACACTTTAAACTAATTAGTTTAACTGAAAATAGGACAGTTACATGAATGTGTATAAAAAGACCATCTGTTTCTCAGAGTTTCTCAGAAGCAAAGATGGGCACATGTTTACTAATCAGCAAAAAACTGCATCTACAAACAACAATTTCAGAAAAACGTTCATCAACATAAACTTGACTTTGGATCATCTACGCTACATCAAACGATTCTAAGAATCTGGAGAAATCTCTGTCAAGGCCAACAATTAATATTAGATGTCCATGACATTTGGGCTCTCGGGCAGCACTGCATTAAATACAGGCATGACTCTGTCATGGGCTCAAGAAGAGACACCATCGTCTTTGAGCGCAGTTCACTGTGCCATCCACAATGCAGGTTAGAGCTAAATCATGCAAAGGAGGAGACATATGCGAACAAATCTAGAAACACTGCCATCTTCTCTGGGCCAAAGCTCATTGAAAATAAACTGAGGCAAAGTGGAAAACTGATCTGTGGTTACACAAATCTTATTTTTAAATTCTTTTTGGAAAACATGGATGCTACATCCTCAAGACCAAAGAGGAGAGGAACCATCTGGCTTGTTATCAGGCCTCAGTTCAACAGCCTGGATCTCTGATGGTATGGGGTTGCATTAGTGTGCACGGAAATGGCTGAATTCTAAAAGGTATACATGGCTTTTAGAACAATATATGCTTCCATGCAGATGACATCTTTTTTCCAGGGAAGGCATAGCATATTTCAACAAGCTGCAATAGATGCATACAGCATCTGTTACAACAGCATGGTTTACTAGGAGAGGCTGGGTGCTTTCACAAACTGAACACATTTGGCACACAATGAAACAAAAAATATGACAAAGAAGACACATGACTGCTGAGAAGCTAAAATTATATACAAGATAAGAATTGGACATTGCAGTTTAACCATTTGTTCTCTGCCTTCTATTGTGAATAAATTTAGTTTAACATTTCCAAACTTTTTTGTTCTTTTTATTTAAATCTTAAACTGTCCTTTTTTGCAATAGGGTTCATAGTTCTAGCATCAATTTGATCTGTGTTAAGTCTTACACAGGTAAAATGCCTAATATCATTTTACGGTCAATACCTCTGCTATTCTGCATAGCTGCCTGTTTTTTTCAAACTCTCCACCCCCCCAGCATCCACCTGTAGGCTACAGGGAGAAAAATATCACTTCTCAATTTATAAAAGCAGTATGATGAACTCAAGCTAGATGCAAAGCAACTATACTCTGATGCTATAATAAATAATTACAAATGCAAAATCTCTTTCTGAACTGAATCTGACACATTCATTACGGCCTAAACCTGAATGTGAGAAGTAATGTCATAATGTTTGTAGTCATGAAGCAGGTTTCACTTGCTGAAAATACCGTCAAAGATTTCATAAACATGAAACCAAATTCAGTATATAAAGGTTAAAAAGTGAAAAACTGTCTATTGTTGTTAAATCAAAAATGTTCTTAAAGAATTTTTCATGCTCTGTGGTTCAGCACCAAAAACACACAAAACTGCAAGGACTTTCTGATGACAACTTTTAATCAAAAAACACTGTGACCAATTCAGGGTATAATTTACAGAATTTTCATCAATATACAGATTTTAATATTCTTTTTAGTCACTCGTTTTGTTAAATCATTACTTTTGACATTATCAAAAATAGTCATACTTTTTATTATTCCTTTGCATATTTTGATGTCTTGCAAACATGTATCAACATTCAGAAAAGTATTTTCATTTATATATTATTGCTTTAATATCAATATGTGTAATTCATGTCACACTCATCTGTACTTATCGAGTGTCTCAATAAAACATGTAGCGATAAGCTGAAGTTATAATCGTCTCAAATCAAATTCATTTTAAAGTGTATTTTATGCCTCAAAAATTACACAGCAGTCAAAAAGCCTTTTTTCATTTGCTGAAAATATTATTTCACAAGAAAAAAAGCACTTTTACATTTGCTATACATTTTATATACAAACATCTGTCAGTCCTTCATTCAGTTTTCAAAAATTTCTCTCCCTGTTTTCTCACTGCGTCAATGTTCTTGTTTACTGTTCTGTCAACATTTCTTGCAGCGTCTTCTGTCTTTTCTGTTGTGCTTCTCTTGCTGAGTTTTCGCCTGCCCACCTCTGTTACTGCAGATCCAGCAGCTGCCCCAACAGCTCCGCCAATCACACCGCCCAAAAGCACACCGAGCACCAGACCCAGCAATGCCCCGCCAATGACTACTTTGGGCACCTGTTTAGCTGTATTTCCAATTTTCTCCCACACTGAACTCTCAGCCACCATTTTGGCCCCTGCCTTGGCTCCAGAGCCTACTTTTCCCCACACGGGACTCTGTGCCAAATTCTTTGCCCCAGCTCCAATTCCAGCTCCGACACGCATGGAACTCTCTGCCATGACTTTGGCCCCTGAACCCACTTTTTCCCACATTGGACTTGCAGCCGCTGCTTTTGCCCCAGATCCCACCCATGCAGAACCATCTACCACTACCCTGGGAACTTTATTTCCTACTGCTTTGGAGAGATTTCCTGCAGTAACTCCTACCTTCTCCCACACAGAACTATCAACCACCATCTTTTGGACGCTTTGTGCACTAGTGCCAACTTTTTCCCACATTCCACTATCTTTCATCCTCTGTGCTCCCTCTCCAACCCACACAGAGCTATCTGCCAACAGCTTGGGTAAATTCTTTGCACCCGTGCTCATCTTCTCCATTATGGAACTAAGTAGTGAAGGGGATATGGTCGAAAGTGTAATTGGAGGAAGACTCTCAATATTCATAGTACTTACACTCATCTCGGCCTCATCCCTTGTTTTCTCAATATCATCTTCCGTCACTTCCTCGTCTACCTCAGAAACAGACTGCATGTAAGGATAAAGCTTTCGCCTTTCAGAGCTGAGTGGGCCAACATCCTCTACTCTTGCTAGGTTTTCGCCTCGTTTCTCTCTTGCCATCTCTTGCTGTTTCTGCCTCACTCTGTTCTCAGCCTCCTGAAAAGCAGGACAAGAATAATACTGCCCCCCGGCCTCCTTCGCTGTCTGCTCCACCTTTTCTAGCAGGTCGGCAACATTGCTCCTCTCTCCACCACCTCTTTCTGTCTCCAAAACATGAAATCTGTCCCCACATTTCTCCACAATCTTTAACAAATCTCCTCGCTGACCAGCAATGTATGCCTCAATGTTGTTATTTTTGGCCTTCCCACTTGCCCTGAGACGATCAGCATAAGTAAAGAGGACCAAAGTGTGTCTCCAGACTGCTTCAGGTCCAAAAACAGCCTCTAGTGACGCAAGAGCCTGCAGCTCGTTCTTTGCAGGCTGGTCTAAGGGAACACAAAAGAGGAAGACATGCGGGCCGGGACTGGACAGAGCCACACAGGAGGAGATCTGAGCTCGCACCTCATCTGGAGTGCGCTCTGAATTGAACCAGTCTGGAGTATCCACCACTGCCACCTGCAGGTGACAGAGAAAATGCATGCAAAAATGTAAAGAGCTATTATCAAAAGCAACAAAACAAGAAGAGAGTATGAAACACTTTATTCTTTGAGTTATTGTAATGGGTGTATGTTAAGATAAATAGAAAAAAGACATCTTAGTAACTTTAAAAAACAACAACACTAACCTTTCTTCCTTTAACCAATGCCTTCTTTTTCTCACACCATTGTGTGATTGCTATGAGGCTGTCTGGACGTGACTCAAAGGCTTCCTGCCCCAGTATTTCATTGCCAGCTGCACTCTTCCCTGATCCAGATCTTCCAAGCAACACCAGGCGAAGCTCCGGAGAAGATGAGGATGAGGACAATGAGGGGGAAGAAGGGGTTGAGCTGGATGAGGAGATCAAGGAAGGAGAGGCAGCAAAAGATGGTGAAGAGGGGAGGGAAAAGGAGAAGACTGGCGAATAAGGAGTAGTGGTAGGCGAAACCTCGGGGGATCTCTCTTCAAAGCTGTTAATTCTGTGGTGAACTGAAACCATCAGGTAAAAATCAGAGTCAGTGACGTATTAAGAAGTGAAGTGCTGATAGTGACATATGAGAGAGTGAAGTCCTTTGACTTACAAGTAGAGATCACTTTTTGAGTTGATTTACCCTCTGACATTTGTGAGAGTATAGCTCCATCTAGTGGGGAAAAAAGCAAGTTTTGCTCACTTTTGTCTTTTTTTAACTCTTCTAAAAGAATGAATCAGGGTACAATAATGGAGGACAGCATACGGTTAGTGGCATTTACCTTGATTCAGTTTGAAACTGGGTGTCCTTTTTAACTCCCCGGTATCACAGAGCTCAGAGGATGGCTGTCGCTCTAGAGCTGGAGTTGAATAAAGGCTACTGGAGACCTGGCTCACCTTAACCCCTTCCACCATTTCCTCCATTTCTTCTCTTCTCCTCCTTGATTCTGTTGATATGGCACTGACATACTCATTGGACACCTGGCTCACCTTAACTCCTTCCACCATTCCCTCCTTTTCTTCTTGTCTCCTCCTTCTCTCTCTTGAAATGGCATTGAAGTACTCTTCCTCTTGACTTTCTGTGTTTGGGGTATAAGATGATGTGTGGGTCTTTTTCTTCTCTTCCTTTTGAGCCCTGAAACTTTCCATAAGTTGCTCCTTTTTTTCTTTCACCCGTTTTTCCAGCTCTCTGTCCTGGGCTGTTTTCATGTAGTATAACCCGTTTTTCCGCGCCATATTGTCCACCTGTAGATAAATAAACAAACAATAGTAACTTATTGCAGGAACTTTAACTCTGTTTTGTGAGTCACAGTTAGAAAACAATCACAATCATCGCTGATATTCAAACCAGTCCAGACTACAACAGGGTGTGAGTTTACGAATGTGAAACTAGGCGTTCCTGGAAAAACAGCATGCATGCATGCGTACTTGCTCAGTAATTGTCTTAAAAAAACCATTAAAACAAAAAGCTCCAACCTATAGAGTATTTAAAAAAATTCAATGCACTTAAGTAATGAGGAAGTCTCATCCAAATGATAAAATGTGTGAAGGCACGAATGCTCACACTTTTACTGAATCAGACAAACCCTTTGAGGAATGCTTTTTTGCTTTTTGATAACTGTTTTTTACTCCTACTCCATACCTTTTCCAGCAGCTCACGGACCTGGTCCCTGTCCTGTCGCTGTCGATTATTGATGACATGGTACCGTCCTCCGCAACCCTCAATTACCTGCCTCAGGCCTGGGTGCTCTTTCTGCAGGTACTCCTGTGAGAAAACAATGCAACTTGTGTGAATTTATACCTGCAATGATTTGCATCACTCCTATATGTTATACTCCAAGAATAAGATAACCACCTAAAATATTACTGACAGCATATTTACAAAACCCAACATGATACATCTTGAGACAACATTTATTTATAAATAAGGGGCCAATTCGTAAGTTAATAGGTGAAACTAAGCCCTTTTATAGTGGTACTGTTCTCTCTGTTGAGGTCAGGAAAGCAATTCCGCTCCCTGAAGACCAACACAGAGAGACTGAGGAGGAGCTTCTTCCCGCAGGCGATACGGTCTCTCAATCACATCACCACACAGTACTGACCCACACATATGGTTCGTACACACACACTGGACATTCATGACTGTGTATGTGACAAATAAAATTTGAATTTGATTTGAATTTGAGTGACTTTCCTGCTTTATAAAGATAAGCTTAAAGAGAGGGTAGGTGAACACCTCTCATACCTCCACTGTTTTTCCCATCAAGTAGTCCCCACAGGTCAGCATGACCATGGTGTGGTCCAGCACCTCCTGTCCAAACAATTCCTCCAACTCTGCAGGCACACGTGTCTCCACCTGCGTGGGGAAAAGGCAAAGAGGAAAAATGGATCTAAACTGGTTACTGCTTGTTATGGAGATGTTTCAGAACATCTTTAACTTGTATATTTGGAACACATTTTTTTCCACTGTAGTTTGATAGATAAACATTTTTTTATTGAGTACACATTACAGACTACAACTTCAACAAAGTTGAGCAACAGATGACATCACTAACGGGCAAGCCAAGACTAACCTCTGTGAATTGGTTAACAGGCACCAGCAGCAAAATAGCATGTGGGCCTGGTGGTACCAGAGTCATTGCTCGCTGTGTCTCCTTTTTGACACCGTCCTCCATCTTGCCACCACTCCAGTACCATCTCGGTGCCTCCACCAGGGTCACATTCCTGCCTTCAATGAAGCCCTGCCGTAGCTGGCAGCTCCTGGAGGCACCGGGAGAAATGGGGGAAAGCTGGGCCAGGATAGTGTCTGCTAATGCCGTCTTTCCACACCCGATATTCCCCAAAAGAACCAATCTCAGGTCTGAGGACGAGGATCCATAGTAGCTTTCTCTGTAGTGTTCACTCATCCCTGATATGAATAAAGGAAACAGGAAGGAGTCCAAAAAACAAAAGAGAGAGAAATTGAAGACAGTATATCACCTATGTTTTTTGTAGGAAGCTACACCAACCAACCAAAATAAAAGCTGTCTTTTAATACTAGGTTTTATTGTTAGGTTTTTCCTAGACAAACTCACACATAACTTTACATGCAAATAAACCTGGAAAACAGACAACTGGATCAGCTGAGCAGGTTCAGCTAGGCAGATGTTATCAGTTAAGTTACTATTTTAAGCATTAAATAATCATATAATCTTAACAGAAACTGATACAATGCCATCTTAAACTTAACTTGAAATCTTTCTCCTCTATTCCCACACGAGTCTCTCTGCACACAGGATACCTACAGTTCCTTGTACCTTTAAACTGTTGTGCATGAATGAACAAAAACTAAAGTAATTCACTGGTAGTTTCACTGGAAATGATTGTGGGTCACATCAATTTCATCTCAGTGTTTGATACCACACCTTGCTATTCCTGTCAAACAACATTCTGCCTGGACTCATATATGCATTGATATGCAAAAAGGTACAAACCAAATCCATACTGAACAAACAGCAACGAGAGTTGATGAAGCATTTCAAATAGTCCTAACTTCATAAGTATACTTGCTTTGGCATGTAAGAAAAATTCCAAATCAGGCGTGAATCTATTGCTGAAACTGTAATAAATAGCTTACGTTTCTGGATGTAGTTTGAGCTGACTGATCTATTTCCTATTTCCTCAAATATGACACATTATATATCAACAATGTAGTAATTTCAGTACTAAAGTAATACAACTATGAAATTTAATATGATTGCAATTAATCAACAAGTGCATAACATTAACTAATTTAACAAGTAAGTCTCTTACACCAAGACAATCTTACAACAACAATTTAAGCAACAAGACAAATACTTACTCAAGAGTTTAAGGTCTATGAAGTTGCGTTCATGTGTTGTCTTCTGTCAATACTGAGTTTTTTGGTTGGCACTGGGTTATATTTCTCACGCAGACAACTTCAGTACATGTTAGTTCCCAGTCGACTGGCAAAAGCTGTCTGCTCAGATGAGGTGTCTCGCCTGAGCCACTCCCGAATTTAAACACATTCATACATGAGCGCACTTGTAAATATATTTTTTGACACCACAGGTTTCTCAGTTTGTAGGTTGCTAAGCATTCCAACCTGGGGTGGAGGCAGTATAACCAGCTGCCACTGGGAATCGTTCCAAGATAGTTTTAACTACCACACCTATGATGTCAAAACTCATAGAGATCTGTTAAAGGAGGTGTCCTTCATTGTTTGTAGTTGCTAAGGATATTCCCTGGTCAACCAGGTCTGTAAATATGTTGCTGTCATAACCAGAAAGAAATGAAAGCATGAAGGCTTGTCACAGACAAACAAAGTTACAATGTAAAGACAGAATAAATGTGGAATCATTAAGCATAAAACTTCAAGTCTTCATGGCCTTCCATATGAGTAAGAGCTGTTAAGTTTCATTTCAACATCAAAGCAATTACAAACAGACCTCTTGATTAATGTCACTAACACTTTGTCATTAAGGATTTAAATGTTAACCTGTTGTCAGTAATTTGCAAAACAAGAAAATTACTCTTTCAGCATATATTCATGGCTGTGATTAAAGTAGCTGGGTAATATTTACAGATTTTCACACATCCCCACAGCTTGTACATTTATTATTGAGTTACCAGGCAAATGTAAATATGTGATGCCTGATCTCTACTGTGAATTACCCACTACTTCTAATGTTTTCCAAGGACACAAGACATCTCTATCACTATTCAATAAATTTAAAAAGCAGAGTGTTCAAAAATCTTATCTAATCAAATAGTTAATGCAAGGCATTTAATTTGCATTTTAAACATAATTAACATATGTAATTAACAAAAAAAATGTCCTTCTGAAAAAAGTTCACTTCAAAGTTCAAAGTGCAGGCAAATTCTCATAACACAACAACTCTTACTTTTCAAGTATCAACTACCAGAAAAATGTTTTTCAGGTTATCATTGCTGTGTAGAGCCAGTAGGGGTCTCCTTTTACTCACAGGCCAGGCATCACATACGCAATGTTATCCAAGGTGGAGGCCTTTAAACAAACAAGAAAAGCATTCACAAAGGAAAGAAAATCAAGGAAAGAGGAAGCAAAAATGCTGATTGCAATGATATACTAATAAAGTGCATTTAGGAGCACATGTCCAAATAAAACAATAAAATTACCGCAAACTTGTTTAGTTTTGTTGAGTCTATGGAATGGGTTACAATGTTTACACTGTAGCTTCAGTTGTTTGTAAACATTTACGTTTTATTCCTTGGTATTATTTTTAACCTTTTGAAATGAGTTTTTCCCTTTTTTGATTAAATCTCTCCTGGATAAATATTTCTCTTTGGCTTAAATGGCATTTGTTAGGTGCAAATTTGAGATATTTAGAATAGGTATTATAGTACAGACAGTACATTTTGACAGCAGACTTGATTAGTGGAACAACAAATAAATCAATGCCGAACAATAAACACTGACAGGATAAGTACCGCTAGAGTTATTGGACTTTGTCAATACCACAAGTTTCATTCATAACAGCGGCATTGTGTCAACAAAGTAAAGCATAAATCTGCAGGCGTTTTTCCTTTAACAAACAATATACTGGAAGTTCACTACAATAATTTCACCAAGGTGAAAGCATGTAGACATAACAACATGTAAAGGATATGATGTGTATGCACCATAAATTGGCAGCAATGCTTACCAGTGTGTGTTGTGTGCAGCTCCTCAGCTCTGGTATGTGCATAGTGAGGCCGGTAAGTGGAGCCATAGCACACAATAGAGAGTCCAAGAGTAGAGACAAACTACTCGACATACACACCATTTTCTGCAGAGGTGCACAGAGAGCCCTGTATGACCCTACAGTGCAATGAATAAGTTTCATGCTTTCCAGTAGTCTTGACAAAACCGTGTAATGGGCAAACTTTTAATACTACATGACTGTACAGAGTCCACCCCCTAAACACACACACACACACTTAGAGCACTGCTTCGTCTGCAGCAGCTTTATTGCTTTTCAGTCAGTTTAACCTCTTGATATTTTTTCACACACTATTGTTTCATCTTCCTTTGTAAAATTAGTCACTCTGCTGACAGTACACTTATCTATAATAGTGACTGGTTAGAGACTGCCAACATTTTTCACCCTAGGTTAGCGTAACAAGTTGATAACCAGCCTCATGTGACCGTTTATCCTGATTGCCAATGTTAAAACAAGTTAATCTAGATAAGGGAAAGATAGCTTGGCTATGTTAAACTCGCTTTGTGAAAACAGGCCTCTGTGAATCAGTTTGGAATATAGACAGAAAAAGATAAAGAAAACACCACGTTGTAGGACTGTATAATGTTTCAACTCCCACCAGCTATCTTGGGATACACTCCAACTATCGAGGCCTTCACGGTATCTGTTTAAGATCAAAATCTCTTCTATGTTTACTTCTGATTAGCAAAGATATAAAGTAGTTCTAGTTCTGGGACCACTATTATCCCTTGTTTCTGAATTTATACAAGCAAGATGAAGAATACATGTGAGAGATGAACAAAAGACATTAAGTGTCTTATAAAAAGATTTTTTTTAATTGAATCTACTCACATCCGTCTCCTGGAGATGGTGTCCAATCAGGGATAACGATTCTCCCAGGAGGTGAAGGTAAGCTGCAGCACTGGCAGGATCCTGGTCAGAGCAGCAGAGACTCTTGGGGGTGGACATTAGAGGGTCTGTGGCTGAAGTGGTGACACCACATATAAAACCAATGGGACTACATGAATCAGTCATGAAGCTAGTCATCGTGGAGCTAACAGTAGTAGAAATGGCTGTCAGTGAACTAGGAATAGGTGTAGAGTGACGAGGCCAGTTGCCTACTGGAGAGACAGAGGGGCTGGCAGGTCCGTTACTGGGACAATCTGCCCCATAATGCTGGCTATTAAGATACACCAAGTACTCCATCATGGGACCTGGACTCCTCTGAAAGAAAACGAAAGGAATACAAAACATAATGATTAAATGTGAGATTGGGAGATATACAGTACTTGGCGATAAATCATAAATTACAAAACATTACCAGAGTAATGTTTCCCTCTGCATTAAAACATGGATGCAACAAGTTTTCTTGGATACACTAGAAAGAAAGAAGTAGTCACAAGGTTAGAAGTAAAAGGATAAAGTCCTGTTTTTTGTTTTGATAGATAAAGATTTGAAAAAAAAAATGTAACCATGGTGGGTAAAAAGAAAAATATTTGGTTGTGTCTGTTAGGGCTGTTCGATATAATGATATATATCGGATGACGATATTAAAACGTCTATCGTTTCATTTTACGCTATTGGTTGTTTCGTGGTGTCGCAAAATAAACTCTTTATGGCAATATTTTTTCATCATTTTGATGGTCACTGTAGTGGCTATATTAATTTCTTAAAGTTCTCTCTTTCCCTTATATTTTATATAACCACACTAAGGACGGACAAGCGCCTGTTTTTATGCGTTGTCATTAGCAACAACGACGGTAAAACCATCACGTGTCCGCTTTTTATGTTCCACATAAACCTTTCACAATAAAGCTCAAGATCCTGTTGAGACTTTTCAAAATAAACTGAATCACGTGAAAGAGCAGATTATTTACGGATGAGAAGTAAAAAAAA